GACCTTCACCTCGGCTGCTCATATTGTCACCGTCATTTTGATGGAGAAAAGTGTCGAAGTCGACTTTACTTGTCGCGTCTTCGCCGTCCTCCCACATGACCAGAAAGACGTAAGCCACTGACTTTATCTGGAAAATCGGTTTTCATATACAACTGAGTTTAAATTAAAATTAGGACTTCTAAGTTTGTCTAAAAAATAGCTGCAACTGAACTTCGACTCAGTCCTCCTTCACATTCATCCACTCGCTACGGGAATTAGCAACTTCCCTGAATGCTTAAACATGACGACTTTTAGTGGGGTTGAAAGATCTGGGAATAGTTTGTTTCAATTTTAATGTAGGTGCATTACTGTCCTGCTTGGGCTAGCTTTTTGGAAGTGCAATTATATCCCGTAGAAAGATTCACATTTTGTGTAAGCCCACCTTAGGCTGTTCGTCGATTATTCATAATTAGGTATTCTACATGCTGGATTTTAGCATGTTTGACTGTTGTAATGTGGCTCAGGAATCGCTCTCAGACGTACGGCTGTCTCTGATTCATTCACATCAGTTCAATAAGCGGATGAACGTCTCATTACTGCATGATACCCTAGTGTGTTCAAAATCTTCTCTGTGGGTAGATCTCAGTTGCATGTTTTTTGATCATTTACTGGTAGGATAATTTGCTTGCCGTTACACATACCGGCATCGCACGCTCACTGGTGCTGTCACCTACCACCTTGATGAACGGTGTCCGAACTACTCAGAACACGTGTAGGCCATTAGGAACAGTAATGTGAAATAGTTGGCACTAATCCCAATGCAGAGTATCACCATGACAGAATTCCTTCTCAGTTTGACTTAACTTCGTCTTAGGTACGAGCAACTTCAAACTGACACCGGGTTTTGGGCGATGGGCGTATTTCCTACTTTACTTGTAGGATTCAAGACCCATTTTAGAGGCCACTTTATATGACATGATATGACATGTTAAAGATATTAAGGCTTTTTGTGCAGTAAACTCAATCTATTAAAGGATATTTACTGCCCTAGTCCATCGGCCACTTGAATAAGTAATCATTAGCTAAACCGATGTTTGTAATGCAAAATACTACATAACCAACAAAACGTTTGTAAATATCGTAGAGGTTCCCGGTTTTTATTCTTCGAAAAGCCCAGATTTTCGTCTTTATTATATTAAAAGGAGGATTTAACGAATTACTAATAGGGAATCGAGCTTTGTGTTTGACCAAATTGTATGATAATTGCGGAAAATAGATAAGGTGATCGTCCCGGACAGAAGGATACTATTGGTTCTCAAGGCCTAGTCGGTCTATTCAAAGCCATTCAAGAGTTAGGAATGAAATTCACTGATTAATTTTCAATCACAATGAGATTACATTTGATCCAAACGACAATGTCTGCATCACTTCGATTCCGACTGGTCCATAGGATTGTTGGAATTAGCTTCTCTGGAAATTCTCCATGTTGTCAATGCTCTGCTGAGTGCTTACCCATCCATATGATCACTGGTCCGAAGGTAAAGTAGAAAAAATAGTATAAGCAAATGCGCAGATCTACTCCTTCACGATTTCGATAGTTTTTGCTACTGTAGTGACACCAGATCGTTCTATCCTAGTGTCACCTCGGTCCTTCGTGATCACAGTGCAAAATACGATAATGGAGTGAAATCGCTTTAAGGATCCGCAGTAGTATTTCTGTCGAAATAGAGGTAGACTTTGAGAACAGGAAACATCACTATTGTAAGAATGGACTAAAATTGTCGGACCTCGTTCTTCGTAATGTAAAAAGGGCGGAAATCAAGAAGTAAATTTACCCTAACCCAGTCAGGAACTAGTGTATCAATTGGTAAAGATAAATTTTGGTCTTTGGCCTTACGCGATCGGTCACTTAGGGTATGTGGATTCAACTTTCGTTCGTATTCCAGCCACGGACAGTAACGCAATTGCACTTGCGCCTCTGGAATGACTACGGAGTTCCACCGGAGGAAAAATTATACCTCATACTGCAGGCCCACCTGGCTCTCCTCGCCAAATACCCTTTAAGTGAGTTTGGTCCTCCCGTTGTCCATTGTAGGTAAGATGATCCTTTTTGATTAGCGTCCACCAGTCGCAAACGATGTTTTGGCTTCTTTGTTCTGTATTCTTCTTCTAGTGCTGGGGTAGGCAGAACTGGCACGTTCATTTGCAGTCGATGCCTGCTTGATCAGCTACTAAAGGACTCCTCGAATATCGATATCATTGGCACGACTCTGGCAGTTCGAAGGTGGCACAAAAATCTTGTTCTGGTTGATTTGAGCTTCAAAACCAAGTTGATTTGAAAGCGTTAGTTATTTTTTAAGTGCTTTACTGTTTTCAAAGCCAAGACTTAAAGAGCCACTTCTTTACAAAAATGAAATACTAAGATTAGTTGGTTAAAGCAGATGATATAACCTCGCTTACTGTTCTGTTTAGTTTTTTGTTCAAATTCGTAGATTGCGTTATTGACAAATTGGGTCTACTGCCAGTAACCATTAGACCAATCGGTATATCATTTCTCAAAACCTTTCTTCAATATTCCAAAGCAAAAAATACAATCACTAACTCTTTGATACAAAAGAGAAGACCTATCTAGCTTGCCAATCTACGTATGTCATAGAGAAATCAACGATTATTTGAACGGGATAGCTAAACTGTTATTGTTGAAGCAACAAATGTTATCGAGGAAGGCAATGCTTTTGGTATTCTCTAAATCACTCGTCCTTTTGCTAGGGGTTGCACCCCTGGGCAGCTATTCGAGTAAGTACGACAACCTCCGAACCGAACGCCAAACCAAGGTATCATTCGTGTTGTGAACTGGTGTTTGGTGTGTGAGCACGGCCACTACTTCAATCTCAACCAGAGTAGTCGGGAAATAGAGACTTCAATGCGAATGTTTGCATTGCCGACGTGGGCGCATATGACGACTGGCTGAGACGTGGGGGCGGCCCTATCCTCGCGTATTTGTGGAGATACAATTGCCCTCGGTCCCATTGTAGTTATGAGCGCACGTTAAGTGCCTTCGCGTTATATTGGCCGATGAGGGGGCTAACTGTAGTTTATTCCCAGAAAGATCAAGAGAGGGAGATGCATGTGAAGGTTTATAAAATTTCGAAACAGGAATTAAGTTGCAAACATCCTTTACAGTCATGCTGAGTACGTCTGATATCTGCCCCTTTTGTTATTAAAAATTGCGATTAAAATGGACGCCAACCCTTGCTAGTGAGTCAGTGAATTTCAAATTCGTCCTTTTTTCCTAGAAAGTGCGTGGATTATAAACCTTTTCATATTTTTCGATAGGCATTTATGTGTAACTACGTAAGTGACTTGCCTCCAACAATAAAACGAAGGTAAATTGGTGAGGAAAAACTAGGCAAGCTCATTTCCCTCATGGGTACATGCTTTTCCAGAGTAAATATGTTTCACTTTAATGGTGAGGTGGCTTTGGCCAAAGTTCTTCGGTTCTGAAGACAACATCTCCTTTTAAAAGTGAAATTCCAGAGGTCATACCTCTTTAGAGGGACAACAAATTGTGGTGGTGATTAGTTTAATGAAGACACTTTAAGAGACACTTCTCTTTTTGATTAATTTGCATTTTCAACAACAGTATGACCTTTTCTGATTGCCCGCTTCTTTGTTATCACAAAAGTTTACCCAGAGACTTCCCTAAAGACAAAAGAAGAGGACGTAATGCTCGGACTAGATGTGCATTGTCGCCGCATGGTGTGGGCTCAAGGGTAGGCTACCCAACTGAAATACAATGGTAGCGCACCTAAGTAGCTCGTTGCCAAAACCTAGAGTTAAACGAACAATTAACGTAGTGCAGATACTTATTATTTCTGCTACGAGGTGTGCTACTTCCCAACAGCCACTGAAGTGTTTTGACATCTTCTCTTGCATTGCAGAAAACGAATGCGCAAATTTGTAAAATCTTTGAACTGTAAATAGGGGAACCGGAATAAAAGATTAACAAGTTTTTCTGACACTTAGACCCTGGATCGTATCCTGAGGACTCGTTGAAGGAAAAGGAAAATTTTATACACCTTGTAACGTCAATCCTGCATTCATAATCCACTTATATTTGTTTTAAAATTCCTAGGTATCCAAAACCTTTTATGTGGAACTTTTAAGCAAAGAAGCGTTTGCCATTCCTTGTGGCTGGTTACATGAACTTATGTTTCTCAAACATGTTACTGAATTGTTGGTCAAAATTTGCACCTCGTCTGTGAATTGCCACTTATTATGCCTTGCTAGGTGAAACTTTTGTCCATCTAACGAGGCAGCACTGGTTTTATGCCTTTTTGGTAAAAGAAACTCAAATTGCATTTTCGTATCCCTCTGTTTCCTTTCGTTAGCTTTTTATTGAAACGCATAAGCCTGGATAGAAAAGAATTAATAATAACTGAATAGGTTGTTGGAAAGTTAGCAGAAATTAAAGGGATGAGGCATCATGCCAGAATAAAGATGAGGAAGGAGCCCTCGTAAATGGCATCCAGTTTTAATTATACCTACCACCGCATTGTCATCCTCTTTTCGTCATCTCGGGGACTCCTTATGGTTAGGTTCTTGTGTCGAAGAACGCGGTGCACTCCGATATCCTTGAAATATATACGAGATGTCTGGCCATTGTGAAGATAACAAACAGTTTATGCTGTTCTACTTTTCTGTCCCATATTGTGTCAAGTTGGTTTCAGCAATGCGTAGACCATGGCGCGTTCACATCCTTCTTCATCCCCTCCCGAGAGTACACAGCAAACGGCTGGATCGCTAGCGTCAGCATCCAGTATAAATGGAGGGGAACTTGGCTCGAAATTTGATAACGCTAAAATCATTGTAGAGCAGAGCACTCGCTTTAGTACTTCAAACTCTACGTCATGTCCTTTCCAGATTTAAAATTCCTCTTCGCCTGCTTTTCCCTAAGTTTATGCAACGGCCTTCAACCCTAACACAACCTTTGACTTCCTCATGATTGATTGGCGATGGCCAGGATATCATTTGCCATGTGCGGTCTTCTGTAATAGCTATCCTGAAACAGTTTGGTCCAGAAAGGTGCCTGAGTGTTACAGAAATTACCATTTCATTAAGTTTAGGATCAAACTTGTGCCATGTAGACGCTTTCACACTACTCTTAGGTTATCTAATTTACTCTCAAATATGCCTTTTGATGTAAACGATATCACTCATGCATGTTCTAGAACGCTTTGAGGAATAGGCTAATTAATGTGGTTTGCATCAGACGTAAGAAGGTGTGGGTTACCTTGTAACGAAGAAAGTGGGGCTGGGAGGTTCTACTAATAAATAGGTGTCCATACCGTAGTTGCGCTGAAACACGAGAGGACTGAATGGCTGGTATGCCCTAATTGCAATTTGCTTTCGTGGCCTTCACGAAAGTGGTTTGTAGTTCCACCCAAAGTACCCCTGCTACTAATCTCTAGTCGCACGGTATGCTCAAAAACGTATCAAGCTAAAGATCAGACGCTAATCACAAGTCGGTTGTTCGAGTGACAGTCTGGCCAGTTATTCCAGTGTCTACCTAGTCCAGTGGCATCAACTAAATCATAAAACATGCTGATTAACTCCATGACCGTTTCTAGCCGATGACTGAAGATAAATATTAGCAAAATGCAGCTTTTACATCATTCACTGCTCCAAATTAATGCTTACATCCATCGAAGATTTAAAAGTTCGTGTCTGATGAAGCGTTCAGTGCTGTAAGGGGCTCCCGTGCAATGCACTCTTCGCTCGTCTCAAATGCTTCCGCTACGGACATGATCCTGAACCGTGGATTGAGTCGTTACATTGCAGCACCTTGGCAATCCAAAGTTGTGACAAATCAATCGCTCAAAACAGCTTTACCCCCTTATCAACGTTCTCTCGGTGCCTCCTATGCAATTTTAGACTTTTGTAAAGGCCAAACAACATTTGAAATAATCTGGATAATGTTGTACAGTATGATATGCTTAAATATTTGTTGCAGAAGTGTGCCTGTCGAGCCTTTGTAGAGGCGCTCGCACTAATAAATGGTGGTGGATACCAATTCGCATTTCGCAACTGGCTAAAGGCTATTGGGAAACTGACTTAGGCTTTTTCGACCACTAGAAGAGGTATTCAACACACCGCTTTGCTGGCTGGGATTTCTATTTATTTGCAGGCTGTGGTTTAAACAAATTGAGTTATATGGTCGTAAACTTTGCGAACCTGCCAGGCAGCATTTGGGTACTCATGCATTTGAATTCAGTGGTGGCAGTGTATTTTGCTGATGGCGGTCAGCGACAAGCGCCTTTCAATGTCTACCACCAACAAATCAAACCTGAGTCTCTGATTTTACGCCTTAGCCATATCTCAGGAATAAGGTCGCACTAGTTTAAACCTCGATGAAGAGTTCAGGCTCTTTGTGAAAATACCAACAAAATGCAAATGTAAATGGTGTTTTCATCCAACAGAAAAGAGAACAAAATCAATGTTAAACAATTTCTTCTGTGAGCAGCATCATGCAATTAAACTGGGCGCAGAAGAGGAATGGACTACTTCATGTCGAAAGTCAAAATAATTCGCTCAGCTCAGCATCTGTTTGTTATCATTCCACCATAAACTGATCGTACTGCGTTTGAAGGTGTAGCAAGTACGACCAGCCTCGATTCCTGTGGACCTTGAAAATTTAATGTGAGCTTGAGCACGTGCTTAAGGAAGCACTAGAGCAAATAGGTTCTCAGGCTAAGCCAGGATTCATTATGAACAAGTGTTTCGTTAATAACATGCATTCATTTTGATTTATATCACTAATGGAAATGCAAAATGATGATCTTACTTATTGGTTACTATTACTATCGAGATCTCGGAGAAAAATCGGCCTTCACCCCACTGTTCTCCACGTACCTTTCCCCTCAAATCAACCGCATTGCCTTTTGATAAAATACATTTCATGTGTTAGACACGAGGGGTAAGGTAAGGAAATCGGGCAGTCACATGCGTGTTAATTCCTAGATGACGTCTGAGATTCTAACAGAAGTCATCTAATGATCTATTTACAAGCTTGCTGAATAGGTTGTCCATATCGGAATATTATAGACAACAGGATAATTAGATTGTAAAACACAAATCTGCTAAGAGATCCCTTGCAAGATTAGTTAAAAATTTTCTCTATGCTATCTTATCCGGGGCAATAAGTTGTTAATTAGATAAGCAGTTTCCATCGTGTATTTATTTGGCTTGAAGTAAATGTATATCTTGGATGCAGGGCAGTTTATTTGTGATGCTTTATTTGCCTATCATCTAACAACTTGCCCAGTACCCAAAGCCATAGAGACGCATCACAAGTGATATTAGTATCATGTGTGGTGAATCAAGAAAAGTGAAAATAAATCCACACTGCTATTTGAGACCGACGTCATGTTTCGACCCAGATAACGGCAATAGCACCACTTTGAAAATGCCTTTTTGAAAGGAATCAACTTAATTTATTTCCACTAAAAAATAAATCCAAAAACGTCCCAAGTCGGAAATGAATTTCACACAAGGGATTATTGGGCCCTTTCGATGACCAAAATCCACATTTGTGAAAGTGATAATTCTGCTTTCCTAATATCGTAAGATTTTGTTTATTCACTAAATTATTAAAGAGATGATAACACACTTTTTCATAACCTCTTTATTCAACAATACAGACATGAGCTTTAAGCAAAAGGTCGCATTCAACTACTGTCTTTCTTCAAGACTTTTGTGTGCACAAGCTGATTATCGACTTTCGCTAACACTTAACAATCCGCGAACAATGTAGTCGTCATGACAGTGACCCAAATGAAAGTACTGCCATTTTACGTGGAGTCTAGCATACGTAACCGCATTTTGGCCTAAATGCCTAAGGAAGACAAAGAGATGTTCCAACCGAGGCCTTTGTGGAAAGGTAAAAGGGCATCATGTATTCGTGAGTAAAACCCATGTTCTGAAACTGATAACTCAGTAAAGCGGAAGAAGTGGCAGGCTGACGGTCCCACGACACTGCATTTTAACTCAACAAATCCGTGCTTTGTACAACATTTTGTCAATTATTGTAGAAATGGTATTAATACCGTTCCCCCAAAAACAACAGACAATGTTTGGTGCACTTTTAGGGTAATACTTCAAATGGCATTTTTGAAAAAAATTTTTTTTCCTAGTGCTTGTTGGGATCTCCATATTTACATCGATTCAGAAAAATTTTAGTCTACTTACTGGTTACCAATGAAAACCCAGTGTCCATAAAGTGATCGCGCAGCAGTTTATTCAGCCTTCTCCAACTTTCGATTGGATTAGTGAAGTCTCGTGGTGAGGCCACACAATCACCAGTTTCAAGAAGCCATAAATGGGTCAACCAGTGGCATTAGGGTGCAAGTTGATACGTTGGAGGGCTTTAAATTTGCAAACCGCAATCAGTAATCACACCATGGCTAAGGAGATGGGGTGGTATGATCATTCCGTGTTTTACCGCTTTCGTGCTCGAGTTTCTGTCTTCCTCTTCGGCTGTTCAATTGTTCTCCTCCCAATCCTATGTCTCATATACTATACAAGGCTGTTTGTCTACCCACTCTTCCTAATGACGTTTGGTCATCCTATTGCTGATGCGTACAGCTGTTACTGCTTTCTAGTCTTTCTGCTTTACACCATTCATTGGATCTGGGATGTCGAAACACCGTATCGAGGAGGACGCCGTGTAATGTGGATAACGAGACTCGCCTTGTGGAAGTGGGTGACGCAGTACTTTCCAGCTCGTTTAGTGGTATCGAAGGAACTGGAGAGGTGGGCGAGGGAGCAGGGTCAAGAAGTGGGTGAAGAGGGTGCAGCCATACAACTGCCTACCTCCGTTAACTACCTCTTGGGATACCATCCGCATGGACCGGTGGCAATGGGCATGCTCATGGCGTATGGCAACGACTTGTTGAATTTCTCTAAAGTATTTCCGGACATTAAAACACACATAGCCACATTGAACGTGCATTACAAAGTTCCGTTCTACCGGGAATATGCTATGCTCGGAGGTGAGCAAAATGTGTTAATTTATTAGTTCGGAACTGTTAGTAAAAATTTTGTGCGACTCGAAATGGCGAATATTTTCATGGCTGCACGACAACTAGCTATGGAGGTTAATTGAAATCCGTTTGCAACTACCTTAGCTGGGTTGTTTATGCATCAGTCACATGACTTGTTCGACTGATGGGCTGTTTAGAAACCGATGTCAACTGATCAGAACAATTAAGTGGTCCATGAAGGGTGCGAAAACGATGCATCTCGAGATGTAAAACATAAAGCAGTCGACAATCACGTCGTTTTATTGGGACCTTAAGGACCTACAACGTAACACATTGAACTCCATCTGATTTCAATGGAATGTTGGCTGTTCTTTTGCATAGGACTCAAAATGTGAAGGTGAGTTACCATTTGTTGTACAATTTCGGCGAAGACGATCTAGTGTCTGATGTTGTCGAAAAGGCCGCGACAACCACCTTCTGGTGCAAGTGTAAAAGGTTAAAATTCCTACCTCACTATACATTTCTAAGGAAATAACATGATATTATCATTAGAGGAAAAAGCAATTACGCCTTTGAGATGCAGGTGGCGAATCTGTGACCTTAATGCACCGTGAAACACCTATGAGGCGCCCTTCAAGTGTTGCAAGCAGCTGATGCAAGTATTTGGCGCTGTTTGTGAATGATCCGCTTATCCGATGCATTTGGGGTAACAAGTAAAGCCGATTCCCCTTCACGTTCAAAGCACGAATGTAACAAATTGTGCAAAATATTACCCTGAGTAGTTTACGATCGCCCATTTAACCCTCATTTGACCAACATATACCTCTCCATTATAAGTGGCTACAGCTGCAAAGTTTGCCATTAGATTGTTTTGCATGAACCTTAAATCTCAATCCTCAACTTACTTCCTGAAAGGCTGCTGTGACTTACTCACGAATCAACATCGAACAACATTGTTCCTTGTCGTCCTTCTTCAGCAAGAGAATGAGAGCTGCGCACTTTGTAATTAACCCACAACCAATGTGTGTGTGTGTGTGTATGTGCGTGTGTGGGTGTTATTTTCATCCCATTGCATTCTCACAAAAGTACACGGTGACAACTTCGAAGATGCTGTGCAGTTTGCTGGAAAATCACTTCTAGTCGTCTCGGATTTGCATACGAATGTCAGATTTCAGGTCTCTTGTTGCTTGAATAAGCCTAACCTTCTTGCTACACTTCTCACTTTCTTCTAGAGAGATTTTTTACCTCCAAACAGGCGGTGTCTCCGTCAGTCAAGAGAGCCTAATCTACCTGTTGGATAAAGAGGTGACGGGAAGAACGGGCAATTTAGTAGCAGTCTCCGTAGGTGGAGCAATAGAAGCTCTGGAATCCCGACCAGGTCACTACGTCCTCATGCTCAGTCGACGTCGTGGCTTCTTTCGCATAGCCCTGAGAACGGGGTAAGCTGGCCACCTGATACATCACCGAAATGCATGGACCTCTGAAGTGAAGCCCTCCTCTTGCATATTTACGTCGTTCAGATGCTCGCTCGGTCAGCCACGGTAATGGTGTTTTCTTGTCCCTTTAGCGCCTACCTCATTCCCTCCATAGGCTTTGGGGAGACGAGTATGTACGACCAGGTTGCTAATCCCACGGGTTCTGCTCTGCGGAAGCTTCAAGACTGGTTCACGCACACCTTCACGCTGGCTCCTCCTCTCTTCTACTCTACTCGAGTCATTCCATACCGGAAACCGCTCACTGTAGTCGGTAAGATAGTAGCGTCGTTTGCGTACCACCCTTGTTATCCAAATGTTGCAGTGGACTTATAATCCCTTCATCGCATGTCACTGGTGACGGTGATGCGGTGACAGGGCTATGCTGGAATTGAGTCAGGCGGTTAATTATGAACACATGTACGTGTGCACAGCCTTGGCAAATCCGAATTCAATTTGATCTACTTTGCTCATTATGATGACCTTTGGATTTGGATTTGCATATCATTTTGCGCACACCACCTCTCTATCATTTATGTGTAGAATTGACAACATCGTCGCCTTGATCTCACCCTCATCCACTAGCGGTGTTTGCAGCATAACTGGAAATGCCTTCAATTGACGTGCAATTGTCTGAAAAATAAGTTGGGTAACTGGGTGTTATTCGGTGGAAGTTGGGCGCTATCGGGAAGGCTACTGCAGCAGCCACAGGAAGTTGGTGCAGTCACCGATTCAGAAGTGAAAAGCATGTGCTTGCAGTGACAAAATTCAGGCATTTGTCGAACGGTTTCACTGCCTTATTCACTTCCGTCTTCCACAGGTAAAGGCCACTCAGATTGACCGTGTCTAGGTGGTTAGCTTTAGAAATTAGTCCGCTGGCTAAATGTAGGAAAGTGGTGCCCCCTTGAAGGTGATTGGCATGTTTTATCTTTGCTCTTCTCCAGTCGGACGACCCATAATATGCAGGCGAGTTCCTCATCCAACAGACGAAGAGATCGACAACCTCAGAGAGCAGTACAAGCAACAGCTGAGGGAGATATTCAACAGGTACAGACCGCTCTACGATCCCACTGCAGAGGACATTCGCTTTTACTGATTACATTTGCGCACTCGTTTGCACTTCTCCGATTTTTCCACACTTTTCTCTTTCGCACTAGTTAGCATGTTCAGCACCCAATCATAAAGGCATGTTGTCAATGAAAAGTACAATAAATGGTTCCAGTTGGTGTCAGTTACAATCGTTTGTTTGCAGTTGCAATGGAACAGTTGCACAGTCATCTATGCTGTCACGAGGCCTCCCATGGACGTAGATGTTGGAAGGGGAAACGACTGCGTAGTCTAACGTGGGCAGACTGAGATTTGCAAAACGCAAAGGCACAAACGCAGCACGTATTTCATAGGCTTGAGAAGATGCGAGAGCAACTGTTGAAAAGACTAGTAAAACAGGTTCACTTTCATGGGGAGGTGGACTACCCGATAGTGAAATTCGGCGTTGCTGGTGTGCTGTGGTGGATGGGCAGCAGATGCGCACATTTGTAGGTCGACTGTCCTTTAACTGCAGCAATGTTGTGAGGCTTTGCGCAAGGCATTGACAACGAATGCCCGTTCCGGTGAACAGGTAACAATTGGATAATGCCAACTCGTTGAGGGAGGCATATTCACACCATTTCATACTTTTCAATTTCAAGGAAACTTAACGCACCAGTACGATTTTATGATCTAGCATTAATTCCGTTGCGCCGCCACCTCTGCTGTATTCGTTGCGAGGTCCGACTACTGTAGTGAGAATACAAACTGCCAGAGATGTTGGCTATTTGGTGGGCCTGACAGGCTTGACAAAGTACTGGTGTGCATACAGAAGTGCATGGTCAACCGCATGTCTCAGTCATTCACAGCCAGTCCGCGTGACAATGCCAATTGTGGTCAGTCATTGACCGGAAGTCACGTGAGCGCAGCCGCATCCCATCTTCCGACCGCATTTGGTTGACTCACTTCTCTCTGCCCTATCCATCCGTGCAATCGGTCCGGATGCCCTTGACCCAACGCAGCCTCTCGTAGCCTATGCGTTTATCAACGATGAGTTGGTTTTTCAAGTCGAAGCAGGACTGCAGATTCCTCACCCTACACGATCGTGTTTTCACAACTCATACGAGGGAATCGGATGAATGTAATATAGCAGTCATCTGGTTCAAAAAGAAGGAATGACATTGCCCACGTAGTGATTTGGTATTTGGCTACGCATGCTCCTCAGGCGCCACAAATTATGCTTCCACATGATGCCATGGCCTTCCAGCTATGTCTACGGCATTCCAGACCATTAGTACGCTATTACCGAACGTCCTTTCACACTGACGTGTCTCGTTCCAACAGCAGAGGCGACTCAAGACACCACAAGTATGGTCGCCTTACTCATAGTCATGATATTGTCAGCCTCCTAAACGCAAAGCAGTAATTGCTTGCATCTAATTCAACCTTTCGTCTGTCAAAATGTTCAATCCTTCTATATGGGAATTGGATTGGTTCTTACTCAGGGTGCCGATTAACATCGAGGTCAAGTGAATCAACAAGTGATAGATTAGCATGCAAATAATCAAGAATAACAACAACAATAGTGATAAGTGGAGATGGTTGTAGACAATGGAATGAATCCACTCCTGCACCCCATTGGCGATGCATTTTGAGTGGACCTTGGTTCCGTGTACCCAAACTCCCTCAAGGAAGGCTTCGACGCATTCTACTTGCAAGTATCAGTAGACTTGTCATCCCAACTTACGGCTAAGTGATGATCGCGTCTTCCTCGTGCGCCAAATCCTGACATCAACATTTGCTTGCACTCAACAGACAATCATGAAAGCCATGCACACACTTGCACATAGCCTCTCAACTTGCTTTAGTCGATGAAAAACGAAACATGCGAAATCACGCGAGTACACCAGTATCGTAAAATCTGCAACTAGTAAACATACTCTGTTCAAACAATTTGAAATGAGTGGCTTTCATTTGAAGACAGTTGTAGAAATTCGGCTTTGCATTTAGAAATCCCCTCCCACCTTCACTCTTGTAGAGTAAATGCATTTAGATTTGCACAGACACGACTTCAAAAAGGGTGGAACTAATTCAAGGAAATGAATTACAAATTATGGGAGAGAAGTCTTCCATCTGTCAAGTTAATGGGGATAACAGAGTCCTAGCATCATGCCCTTCGATGGTTGCGGGGTACTTCCAGTCGTACTTGAGTCTCCTTCAAGGAAAACCTACTCTGAGGACGGTGAATAATGTGGCTAGACGCACTGGAACCAACAACACTTACACGACGCTAATAACAACGCCACATGTAATCATTAAGCTAAACTCCATTCATTTGAATGACTGAAAATCTGACTCACCCACTGCAAATGTGACAATGTTCGAAGCTCATCCACTGTTTACTGCATAAGTTACCATTATGCGCACATGAATCTCCTTCAAGGCTCGAAAATCAACACGACAACTCAACCTTACTTCCAACGTACAAAAATGAGTAAATCCAAACGCATATCCTTATGATGGAAATTCTATGGTGTAAGTGTGGCTTCGGATACGCCAGTCAGTCAGTGCAAGAAACACCCTCGCGGTCAAATGGAGGCGGTGTATTAACTGCTACCAACTGGCATTTAGAAATGAAGACTGGTGGGTTAAAGCCAGCAATTCTTTCATTCGGCTCTCCATTGCCTTCATGTTCCAGAAACAGCAAATAGTCATATGCTCAAGTTAACGAAACTGGATTGCCGTCAGCCCATTTAAACACATTCGAAGGCCAGTATCATAGACAGTCAGTGGATCGACTTGCAAGTGACCCCAGAAGTGGCAACACGCCAACTTCAACTGCAAAACCCGCTCCCGCCTCCGCTCCCCAGATCAACACTGCTCAACCTCTTTGCGCTCCAGGCAACCAATCAGTGTCCAACATGGCGACCAACGAAAGCACGGCAGCTCGGTGCGGAGACACCGTCGACGGAACCGAATGTGCATAGGCAAGTACTCTGCAGCCGTGCCTCTAGTGACTGCAAAACAAGTACGAGCAATTGTCCTCTGTGCTAATTTAGGGTAGAGATCATGCTACGCGTCACCTAAACGCAACGCCTCTTAAGTCTACAGTGGGTGCTCTCATTGGTAATCGTTGGCACCGTTTGATCCAAAGCATCCAATTTGAGCAGAGAAATGCGTTTATGCACGAGGCTTGATGTCCCATCGAGGCAATCCACGACTGACCGTAGGATATAATTAGTGTGTGCAAAGTAAATCTGCACATCAGCATGGCACACAGGTTGACTGAGTAACAAACAGGCAGGTTCTGCTAGTGCACTAAAGCCTGGGTCGCCTTCCCATCAGTGAAGTAGCACTGTCAAGAAGCTCTCAGGCGGATTGACTGCAACTTCCGTTCAATGAATCAAACGCACACGAGCGAAATGTAACCCCAAAATTAACTAGTCGTTTTCCAAAATGGGATGAAAACAGGTGAATAGACACTTGTCTCTTGCAATGATTTCAACATGCCATATGCAACGCTCTACTCAGATTGCCTTTGAAACCTAAAGGAGTATCAAAAGATGCCTTATTCCAGACACCCTATGCAGGCCACTATTCATCCTAACATCAAAGACGGCAGGACTACGCTAAGACACTTTTCAATGGCTTATCTGCAGGCGATTTTGCTGTGATTTCACCTCTGACAAAAAATGCTTTTAATTGTCCTGTTAAAAGAAAGTCGACATATTTGATGACACTTCCACTTTAACAGGTCAAATTCATCGACCAACAGACTTTGAGTTATCGACAATAGCTGGGCTGCAGTAGATGTGGCAGCAATCATTTACCCCCTACGTAGGTAAGACTAAAACATGGTGAAATGTCATTGTTCCACCACAAATGACGAAGGTGCCCTGGATTAGGGCTTAGCTATGTGAGATAAAGGATGCGTAGGAATGAGTACCATCCCAATTTCGTGTTGAGACAAGCACATGAGAGTGATTAAAGTCTCAGTCGAGTAATTACAAGTACGAATTGCCACAAGTCAGATTGGAAACACAAGGACAGTTTTATACAAAAGGGGAGTGAAGAAGCATGAAACAGGCGCAAGTAGAAATATTGTAGAGCATGTGATGGATTATGCATGAGTGATGGGAATAAATCACATACGTACACGGAGAAAGGGAGAGGAGAAAGGGTGACTGCCTCAATGATCATCAAGTGAATTAACATCCTCCACCTTCTCCAGCCCTTCAGCTGCACCATCGCTTGACGTCTTCCCAAACTTCTTGGAGATGGGTTGAGGATTGGCAGTTCCAGGGATGGAGCGTTTGAGGGCTCGGGCCTGGGCCTTTGCGGAGCGGAGAGCAGCCTCTTTGGTTGCTGTGATGATGGAAGGGGATGTCTGCAGGAAGGTGGTTTGCTCGGTGGGGTTAGAGGCGGAGTCGTTGTCGCCTTCACTGGGTGTTCCCACTGACAACGGGTAGTAGGTTTTGAGGCGGGTGTGCCAGGCGATGCTAGTGCCAGCAGATACCGTCTTGAATTGGTGAATTACACCCCGCGGAAGGAAGTAGATGTCGTTATCGCGCAGAGACACTCGTGCGTAGCGAAAGCCCTCCGTTCGAAGAAGGTTCAGCTCACCATCGCCTGCCCAAAAGTTGCCGCACTAAAGACGGTAGACTCCCGTTTATCTATTATCCCGGATTGCAAACATGCAGCAGTACCGTGATACAAGCACTCATAATACCGTAACGATGTCAAACGACTTTCCTAGTGAAATGAGACTGCTTTTGACACAAAAGCACATTAAGTTCGAGGATGGGAACCGTGAATTAATCATTCACCACAAAAACGGTATTTCCAAAAACTGATTTCCTTACAAATCAAAAGGTATTTTATGCTTAATTTGCACAATCATATGCGATTAGCCTGGCTAAGATGGGAAAATGATGATTTGGTACTAACAAAGGACTGAAATCAACATGATTTACTGTAAAACACAATAATTCAATTCCTACAGGGATCAAACTTACATACACACACATATATATTCAATATCACAACTTGATATCATCTAGGCTCCTATGGATGGCGCTTTTGAAAATGTTAAGTAGCAGAAATAAAGCAGTGAATCAAATTCAACGTTAGATCAATGTTGTTCCTACGAAGTACACAATACGAGTTGCTCAATTGTTCCATTATGTGCACTGTACAAATAGCTAATAAGAAGCTACCATTCACAAGAACGTAATTGCATATCAGAAATACGCAAGAGCCGAATTGCAATAGGTATAGGATAAGTAGGCAATCTGCTGGAGAGAAACATCTATAGGACCGAATTATTTAAGAGCGCGATAAGTACCTGGCTAACCGGTGGTTCCATAATGTCCAGACCCAGCCGTTCGACGAGATCCCAATAGTGCCTCGGATCAAAAACGACCACGTCTTTGATGATACGGCCAGAAATGGAGCCAAACTTATAGAGGTTTTCGGTGGTACTCTCTGAAATCTTGGCTACTTCCTGTTGTTTTGGTAAATCAGATGCATTTGGCGGGTGTACGGCCTTGAGCAACCCAATGGCAGCCGTGGTGTGTCGTTGGAGACCGTCGTCAGCGTGATCAGCGTGGCATGGTGTCCGATCCTGCACCAGCAGTTGTCGCGGATTGCTCAGTCGGGAAGAAGTAAAGGTGCCCAAGGAGAAATTAGCGGCTTTTCTACAAACATTTTTAAAATTTTACGAGACATAAAATTGAGGTCCAATTTCAACAGAAGTGAATGCCGGTATTAAATGCCAAATTTTATGTACAAGCAATTTAGTTCCTTTTTTACAGGTGATTGTGACCATGTAGGATGTCAGAATCACGACTCGGTCCAATCAAAACAGAGTCCATTTTAAAAGGGCACATTATTTACGCCTTGAGCTAAAGGTATGACAATACAATAAACGAATGTTACAACACCTCATTTAACTTACTTGCTCCGACTCTTCGGGGCTCCATGAAGAGGAAGAGCCTGTTCTCCAGGACGGACCCAAAGAATCGGACCATCACTACTTTTTTGGGGATCCATAGAACTGAGGGATGAAAGCCTTCCCCATGGAAGAACGAGCTTAAGGAATGGATCTCTCTCAATCATCTCGAGGATATCACTACAGAACTCCCCTCGCTCCTCGCCCTTGACTCCGACTAAGCTAATCGCATGCATCGGACCGTAGCGGTAGATGCCGTTGCAGTAAGTCCGAAAAACATTTTCGGCAAACTCTTTGGCGGTGGTAGTGTAAGCAGCGTTTTTGTTATCAAGAGGACTTGTAGAGACGATAAGACTGGGGTGATTCTTAGCGATATGGTTTACTAACTCTGGTATGTGCTTAGCCGCGCCATGCACAATACCGATACAGAAATAGGAAAAAGGTACAGGAATACACTTCTTCTGACGTTCCATAAATAAGGAGCGGAAGAACTTTTTTACAAGAAGCTGCACCTCCTCCTTCGAAAGACGTGAGATTTCATGTGCGTAAGCGTGTAAAATATATCCCCCTCCATTTTCGTAATGCTCTACGTAAAGTAAATCAGAAAGGTGGCGGCGGGGAAAAGACAGGACAGCGGGCTTTCTTGAAGCTCGTAAAATATGCTGAACATAATTGTGACTTTTGTCTCCGTTTTCCACCTTAGACGAGTTCATTGCGTCGTGCTTGCAACTCACTCCATCATTTGGAAAACACATTGCACCTGTGCATGCGAAAAAACCAGTCAAGCTCAGAATGCCTGCCTAATGGCGGTCTGCGCAATCAAAGACCCGGAATACTAAACAGCTCATTAAAACACAGCAAAATAAATTTACACCTTAAGGTGTAGTTTTGAACTGCAATTCGTCAACATTCTTGTCAAAAAATAAACACAAGTTTGCAATTACAAAATAAAGATGCTGAGGAAAGACTGGTTTTCTGTTTTGTAAGTTAAATGGCCACACTTCATTAATTGTCGGTATGAAGATAGCATCTCATTTTTATCATCCAGTCCTTAAACTGGCTTTCAATTTGTAATAAAAAGCAAGCTTTATGCCAATTTCCTAGATGTATTAATGTTTTGTTCATTTCTTATAAAACAACCTATGTAGCTCACTGAACCTTCCATGATTACAAAAGAGGATATTATACTAGAGCGGAATATACATTATCGATATACGAAAGGGCTGTAAGGCTGCCGATATGGTGAAATACAATATTGTTTGAGCAAAATTTTGTGTCTGTTCCTCCTCGGTGCCTTGTTGTCGCCTCAGTGCTGCACAGCCATATCTGTCTGGGTTCCAGCCAGCTAGTTGAGAGGTGGGCGAAGTATTGCATGCTTATCTAATTGAGGCCTTTGTACAGGTGTGGAAGGTAGCTTTAAAACGAAATCTCCTGGATGAATCACAGCCACGGCTAATGCAGATCCAGTTGTTAATAGCATTTCAGCAGAGTACGGGACTAGAGTAGTTGCCGAAGGTCGAGATCATTTTCAATTCGTCTGCTAGTAGTCGTTGCAGGTTCTCCCATCCTCAGCATGTACTCCTCTTCCCTCACTTTAAGGCTTAGCACTCAGGAATCGAAATCAATGTAACTGTCCTCCACCTTGTCAGCTCTCTGGAGCTTCCCCAAAGAGGGAAGGAAAAGTGCTATCAAGGCAGAACCTGTACCACTGGCGTATGGAAGAGCTGGGACCTACTAACATAGTCCAAAGGCCATCTCAACTGGCGAATTTACAGTGCTCGTACTCCTCAGTGCCGGTGTAAACGAATCAAAGAACCAAACACACAGTTGAAATGGCGCACTCAATTCCCAGAGATTAATGACACTACGTTTTATTAACATAGAAGATTTTGAAACCATCTGATAAATGCGCACTGATACATGACAGATTTTTTAGGTAAGATTGTTTTATCAAATCGAAAAAGCATATATCAAAGTTAATTACAAACCTACAGAAATCACCTGTTACAAATTGATCTTCGCGGTTAAAGTGCTCTAGATCACATGCTCAAAACACATTAAAAAGAACTGGGGCAGCTGCAACCACAATACACAGATGTCGATTGTGTCGCTTGGACAGTGGAGCAGGAAGCACAAACGGCGATCACAGCAATCCAGTCAGCAGCTGAGGTCGTCCATTCTACCATCTCTGCCGCTGCTGGGTCAGGCGATTGACGAGGATGGCGATACCACGAACTTGGATCCCGATGAGGGAGCCTTTTTTAGATTTCGAACTGATTTGAGAGATAGTGAGGTACTGCGTCTCATCGAAACCATTCAAAAGGATGATGCCAAGCAGTTCTCGAGCTTTACTTTTAAAAGGATTGAATCGCTTACTATGGACGTAACACTGACCGAACTCCCCGTAAGTAATCATTTTCAATCATTGCTATGGGTATGCTTAGTAAATCGTAATTGGGATACGCAATCACTTAAAGGTACTATATTAAGATTCTTTTCTCCCGAACTTTTGTCATGTTCGCATGTGATTGCTTGTGAGCTATTTATTTTTATTTCTGGACACCTAAGTAATATTACCAAATGCCAAACATGCCCATTAGCAAATTGTTTCCTTTCAAAATAATCGAATAAAAAGGGTTTGCTGATTTACCTACTGTAATCCAATAGCTATATTTAATGAAATGAGTGACGGGTGGATGACTTTAGTGAGTCATGCGGAATGTGTTTAATTATGCTTTGGAATTCTTATTTTTAGTCAGTTGAATATATGGCAAGATCGTTCTGGAATACACTGAAAAGCATTGGCCTCCTCCACACAGCATGCATTCTATCTGCCCACTCCATAATGGATGTGCTTCTGAGACGCAATATCACTTTCTCAATGACAGATGCAAGTGCCACATTCTTTAATTAATGCAACCTTAAGACTGCGCGATTCTCCCAGTTGAGGGCAGATAGTAAATCTCTTATTCGTACACCCTGTTACAGTTAACATATGCAAAGATGTTCATAAGACATTCACTCTGGTTATTGGAGTAATCTTTTAGATTGAAAAGGACTAAATAATTTCTCTTAAATAGGAAAGTGTCACTCCTGTCCACATTTGCGCGGCAATGGGTGATTATGTTGGTGTTAGGAAGCTACTTGTGGCAGGACTTCCCTACCTCACTCAGGATAGGGTAAGACTCAATTTATGATGGCCCTTTTTGCTGATATATTCTTACCAGAATTGATAGTTTACGTGGCTAGAGTGTTACCAACTCTGGGTAAGTTCCAGCTAGGCAGTGATCAGGCTCATTATAATCACCGCTGCCTATCCTCTGATTATAGAAACCGGGATTTTTCCCTTCAACATTCTGAAGTAATGAATCGCAACCACGTGGTCCCCAAATCAGTCGTTAAAAATACGAATTTGCATAGTAACTTATTACCTATAGTTATCAAATGTTAGGGGAATCAAGCTATGAACTCATGCACGAAAGATGCAATACAGGCAAGCACAGGATGAAGTGGTTTCGAGACTTTAAAATTCAATTAAGAAAGTGAAGTTCACACCTGTAAGTACCTGCATTTTTGGACAGACCTTCCCGTTTTGGTGATATCACACCCTCAAACAACTTTGTGTGCATATTCTTAGATTATACTTAGTAAATCTGCCGTGGACGGTGACCACTGTTGCCTTGAGTTTACTCGAGGGACAAATCACAAACGGGTCATTAACCCATTTTATTCGAAGATGCAGATGTGTGACTGTTAAGGAATTAAAGCGCTATTATGACAGTAACAACAATCCCACATCAACCAAAGTGAAGCTCCATTGGAATAATTAGTTCCCTACAGTTTTTAAATACCCTTCAAGTTTATACCATCAAATCCAGAACTATACAGTAGAGATTAATGGACAAGGAATATTCATAGTAAGAATATAATAGAAGTAGGGCATTTTTGGATACGAAGCTGAACATAGCATTCACATGCCAGCATCCGCCTGATTTTTTTTGGAGATAAAAAAATAATTATTTTTGCTTGTTAATGCAGCTGGGTCGAATACCTTTGCACTACGCAGCACAGACGAATCTACCCACGGTTATAATACTCCTAGCCAGGGACATATCTCTCCTAAACGTATCCGATTTTGTAAGTCATTCAATTTGAAAAAGAACAATGCAGTTAACGAGTTTGTAATCACCCCCGTTTCAACCGCATTAAACTTCAGAATGATACTGCTTTAGTTGTTTCAACAGAGCGATAATGTATCTAAAATAACCATCAAAGCATTTCCGAATCCAAAATTCAGTTAACGCTTGGGAAGCGCAATAACACGAACCGATGCGCATGGGAATCCGTTTTAAACTACCTCTTAAATATGGCAAATTCACTGCCTGCTTTTAGGATTAAAACAATGGTAGTTTGCTGTGTGGCTGTTTGAAGTGTGGAATGTAGCCTGTTACTCATACTCTTGAAATGACTTTCCTCTATCCTGCTGTCAAAATACGCCTGCGGGGGTTATTCGTGTGTAATACTCTGCTTAGGCGAACGAATTACCCCTGGCTTTCTGCAAGTATCATCAAAACCAAGCAATCAAAGAGTACATCATGGAAGTAACCAACGCGCAAAAGGTCGCACAACCATCCGATGACGTTGAAACGGACGTTGAGAATGACGAGGTTCAGGTGAGGTTTTAGGAGTGGACTTATGCTTCGTGAGGGTATGAATGCTGTTCATGGGCAAGGTAATTATCTACAACAAACATAGTCAAGAAATCAAAGTCCATTTATTCTCCGAATAACAAGGACTGACACTAGGATAGGTCTGGAGCCTGCTAAAAGGGTTCTGGTGCGTGATGTGGTTATAATGCGCGCTTTACTTTCTCCTTTCAACGAATGATTATTAGTGCAAGATTTCGTTTTATAAATAATGCTATAATTTGAAGGCCTTTGATTCCAGTAGTCCAACGATCTCACGTACGAAATCAGCTTTTTAACAAAATTGCATTACTAGCATTTCTCTCGTTTGTTTTGATTGGTAGGTCAGAAGTTCCCTTGCAGTACCTTTTGTTGATGTTTTGATAGGCGATGGTTTCACGTGGTGCACATTGCACACTGCCTCTGCACTTCGAAGCGTACTTATGTACCCGGGTCAGGCCCAGGTATTGGTAAGTAAACAGTCCTTTGACCTTCCATGATGCACACAATTGCACAAAGGTATTTGAACAGTTCACGCAACTCTGCAGTCTGTATCGGGGCTGGTCAAATCTCTCACAATCGGAACTCGTTTAATTATCTTTAAATGCGGCACAACGAGCATGCCAAACGTCTGTATTGCCTTTCCATGTACAGATTTCGTCCAATTAATGAACCAAAGTTTTTTCCATTTGAGACGTTTACAATCACCTAGTCATCTGTGCAATTGCTTTCGTGGATGTACTGAAAATACCCGTTCAGGTTTGAAGTAAACCAGTTTGACTGTATTTTAAAGCATCCGCTAGTTGTACTGAAAGTTAAGAACCAAATGTATTTTTAATGTCTTGTATACCAAAGACTAGACATCTTTGTACTCAGAAATATTCATTCATTCTCTATCAAATAGGCAATGTTGTTGCGATGGTTATCATGACAACCAACTAGAGTGAACGATCACTTTGCGAGCCTAATTTAATGTCTTTACACGAGCAACTTTGTGGAGTTTGAGAACCAAGGATTGTTAAATTATGCATTTCTTTATAAAAGCATCCTTTGGTTTTTCCTTAACTATTGTAGTCACAATCGTCAGACGCTTTGCGAGTGTTCCGATGATGTCGCCAAACACGAGAAATTCAGTGAAAGCGAAGTTCTCAATGAACTTATTGCCAGCAGAAGCGAAGTGTTTGTTAAGCAGCCAACCAACACGTTTGGCCAATTTGAAACTCCCTGCTCTAACTTGGTGGCAGAGGTATGTCCTGGCTATTGAAGTAACTCTGGGCAAATAGTTTCACAAAATGCAGTAAATGAAGGTCATCAACAAAACATCGACACACATCTGTCATAATCCCAGTTGCGGAGCTGTAGGATGACTAGAACTCGCAAATGATGAAAAAGATGCAACAAACCTTCGGCTTTACAAACACTCTTTTCATGTGTAGTTTAAGTGAATGAAAAAGATGACACATTTGAAGCACATTGCATGCTCAAGTTATTCATCTGGTGTGGAAGGACAAGCATAGCTACGTATTTCTCACTGTTTCAGTTCGTGCGCATAGCCGACGACACACCAGTTGATAATCTTGCTGAACTGTTTTTTGGAATTTGGAAAATGAGGAAGCCTGATCTTGCACTCACTCTCTACGGATCAGTGCCCCAGCAGAAGTCCTTTCAGAAGCGATTTAATAACATGATCTTCAGTATTTTCCAAAAAACCTGTAAGTTTATAGTGCTTGATGCTAAGATAGGTTGGATTAAACCTCCATAGCAAATTAACTGTTTCACGAGTAAGAAACTGCCCTACCTAGTTTTTCACCGCCAGATTAAGATGTTATGCTGCATCGAAAAACTTAGCTGCGTTGACATCGATATCCCGTCACTGAAATAATGAACACCTGTCTTTTATCATATGCCATTATTAACACCAAACTTGGTGACCCTCTTTCACCTGACGTGTGAATGCGCTTTAGTAACATGGGTAATAACGGATGGCATCTACGACAGCGTAGCTGAGACGATGTCCCACGGAATACGTGGCTACGCAGAGGCTTACGGACTAACCAAGTTGCAAGTCATTGGGATTGTTCCCTGGCGGCGTATGTCCTTCCAGGCTGACCTTCACTCCGCTGATTTTTCGGTATACCTCCACCTAAAGTTGCATGCCTCTGTGCCGGATTATCTGTAGACATGAATGAAAGAAAGCTGATACTATGAAAGCAAGCCAAACACTTTACCTCATACATTTTATTCTGTTTAAATCAGAATAACTACAATTTCTTTACTAAGTAGACATTTTCTCTATTCATGTATTCCAGGTTTTCCAACTGCTTGCTTACTGCTAGCTACTTAGCCTTTAGACATTTACGACCATGAGCATCAGAATACCAAAAGAACTAACCTAGATGAACCCCTCTGTAACTGTATAGCCTGTTTTTCATTATTAGTAGGGGACTAAGCTAACTCGCCTACAGGTCATGAATTTGAGTTAGAATCACCCGGGGAAAAGCAGTCTCGACAGAGCAGAGCTTTACGGTAAGTGGGCCATACACATGTTCTGACCTGTATGGACGATCGAAGAATACATGCCTGTCTAGACATGAAAACTGGCAGGATGGAAGTCAGAGCGGTCTACGCTAAACAAGCCCACAAACAACCGATGTTGGTAGTCCATAAACCGGAGTTGTAGCCAAGAGTAGAAATGATAAGTACAAAACTCATTAGCCTGGGAAAAAGCTGTGACATTAAAATTTGTTAACAAAATTTAGTGGCAAGTATAATTGTACTTTGTCAATTTTTCATACTACTGTAGGGTAATTTCCAGGCAAGGTTTCCCGATCGTGAACGAAAATTAGCTATCCAAACCCAAATTGCGCCTTTCCACACCCGCTACCTTTTTGTCGACTCAGGCGCCAGAAATGATGTTGATTGCATACAAAATTTCCGCACGCAGTTCGAAGTTTGGCTCTCCAAAATACGCCTGGACGAGGAGACCTTTGAGCTATCACGTAAGCCGTGGAAATTGTTGATGAAACATTGGCTGGTAGGTGTTTTGCGTCTATTCCATTGCATTCTGCCTAGTGACTCAGTTTGCCAATAGTAACAATAGGTATAAATGAAGACACGATGGCTAGAAATTCCAGTGAAATCTGAGATGGACAATGTCGTGCATGCAAGCTTAAATTACCGAGCATTAAATTGTTGTCTTCTCATTTACAATAGCTTAATTGCAATGGGCTCACTAGTACTATGCACAGGGACTGACGTTGGCTATATTGCCAAGAGACAACACGCTAACTTTTGCTCATTCCTCATAAGTACACTTGGGAAACTTATGATGAATGAAGGTTGCTTCACTTTGGTATTCCTTGTTCAGGTAATATCCCACTTTGTGGACTTCTCGTTGCAGGGAGGCCGGAGGATGCTCTGGGCGTCTATCAAGCTCTTTGTCGAAATATTCCGTTTGTTATTGTAGCAGTGAGTTGTTACAATTTAACGAATTGCAAACACCAAACAGACGGGTTAAAATTACTAGTCACACCTTGAATAACCCAGAATAACGAAGCAATGCAGTTTATAAAAAAATAGAAATTACTACCATTTCACTACCTGCTAAGCAGAATGCCTTCAAGTCACTCGTAGTAGATAGACACCAGTGAAGTCTTTAAGCTTTAAGCAGTCAATTGATGGAATACCTTTCCCTCTAGGATAGCGGCGGCCTGGCATCTATTCTGGAACGATGCGTTTCGGAAATGGAATATTTACAGGGCAGTGGAAATTCATACACAGACGATGGGCTAGGTGAAATAGAGCTTGATGAGACTGAATCCTCCGAGAGGTTGGTACACTCAGTTCTTCGCCTACTTTTCATGGCATCCCTCATCAGGACCCAAGTGAGGCTAAATGATACAGAAAGTCTCGGCACTAAGAATAACTCACATCCCGGTTGTGATGGCGATACGCGTCTGTTTGAGAAAAAGAAGCAGAAATTGTCTAATCTTTGAGGAACAATCCTGAGTTCCTAAAGAAAAGCAAAAAACTACCTCACAGACTTGTTAGGTTTACACATCGAAATAATTTTCAGTAATAAGCGGTCAGTATTCCTTTTAGAGTCCTGGAAATAATGTTCCAGTATTGGACAGAAGAAGAAATCCAACAGGAGTCACTCGATATGGTTTTAAAAATTGTGGCCTATTCCCAGCTGATAGAATTCTTTTCCAGTGACAAGGGCTTAGAAGGGACGTTAGACAGGAGCGTTTTATCGTCACTCATCAATCCAGGTTAGTCTCACAAATGGCTCTCGGTAAAGCCAGCATATAGTTATTAGGGAACCTTCATAGCAGTGAATGCTATTTTCCAACTGTAATATTTCTTATTGTTGTCGAATGGCTTATTTTCATAATAAATAATTAATATGAGTCGCGTTTTTCCCATTTCAGCTCTCTTTCAAACTCAAGAAAGTCAGTATACCTGGAAGCCGAGACTTAAAATAGCATTGGAATTGGACCGCTCAGGCTTTGTGCTGGAGAAGATTTTGGATGGTGCAAAGTGGACGGTAAGGTTATGCTGTAAAATTCGACCAAAGCTGTTGCTAGTCTTGGAATGTCGAAATGAGTGGTCAGCCATTTACTTAAGTGTACTAGTTATGGAGGTTAGCTATAAGTATACTTTCGTGGAGAGCGAGGTTATCGTCGAACGAGACCAGCCCTATTTCCGCGAAATAACAGTTACCGATTTTCCTACAGCCCAAGGAAATGGAACCTTTTGTAATAAGTTGCCTTTTGAAAAACAAAGTGGATTTCCTTCGAATATTTACTGATGTTGGCTTTGAAATCCACGAGTTTGCCAGTACAAAGATAGTGGAAGAACTATATTCTGTTGAAGCGCAGCGAAACGTACGTTTTCACCGGTCTTTTGATTTACCACGTTTGTATTCTGATGAACTGGCTCATCCAGTTCCACCTGACTGACAATTTTTGCATTTAATATAACCTCGCAAATGCAAACGTTTCCTTTAGAGACGCAAACATCTTGAGCAACGTAATGACACCTTTGTGTAGGCTCGTTATTTATCAAACCTGCTCATTTATTTACAGCTTCCTTAACTACATTCAGTTCAACTATTACTTTTGAGAGAAGAAGTACAAAACGTTGGTTGAGAGCTCCAAATTCGACAAATTTAGTACATATAATACTCTAAATCTATGGTTGACTTCTTACATTTCTACCGCCACGCATCAAATTAATACAGGAATCCTCCTTGTCCAGCGCAGATTATTAACAGTCCGCAATTTCTATACAACTTTTATTTCAGACACTCGGAGGGGCCAGCTTGCGCGAATTTCTACTTTATTATGAAGCAAAGGTAGAGAAAATCTTTCAAACAAGTTCTATGGTTGAGAAACTTTTGAGCATTTTGAATCTTTATTGGAAATAAAGTAGTCTAAAATGTTTAATCGAATTCGATTTTGCGATTGCAGGTACCGGCACAAATTACCATCGAAAGAGTCAGAAAAACCCTTCGAAAACTCATGGGCCATAATCTTTTGACCTATAACAAAGAGAACCCAAAACCACCCGGAGCTATAAGGAGGACCTTAAGAGGCGGCACTTTTGACTCCAAATGTGAGACACCCCTTCCCCTGTTCCTCTTAAGCAGAAAGTGGAGACTGACATACTTTTATGGCATTCGGGTGCTTTTTTACAAAAAATGAGTTAGATGCACTTATCAAACCATGGGAATCCTAGAGAAGTTCCTCTTTGCACATAAAATATGCTCATAATACTCTCTCTTAGATTTTAAGCATAAAAAGGCCTAAAAAGAGGTCACTCACGGTATTAACACTGCGAATTTAGACAAGGGCCAACAAAATTCGTCTGCATTTTCATAACAGTTAATTTCTTTGCTTGAGATTGATGCCTAATTCAAGTAAATGTCCGTTTCGACAAGCAAAACGGGACCATTGCATACAGTACCTCTACCTGTGGGCGCTAGTCACTCGGCGTTTTGAGACAGCACACTTCCTATTGACGATGCTAACTGATATATCCGCGGGGGCCCTCTTCGCTGCAACCTTCTTGCGCTGCATATCCAAAAAAACTCGATTCCTTTCTGATAGCGTGGACCAGAGAAGATACGCTAGGTTCGTTCTTGCTGTTTTCTTTTAACATGACATAGGAGTTATGAATCTCCTCAGCGAAAAATAGGTCGAGTTAAATTATTACAGTTAAATGTCAATCAATTAGTCAATCACTCAACCACCTTGCGGACCATCATTCCGCTTGGAATTGCTATGACCAGCCGGGACTGCGATGAATACACTTGTTTATTACAAAAATGAAGCCTGGCAAAAATGTAACAATTTACAAGGCTTATTTTCACACTGGGTGTTTAGGATTTTTATGAATCCCTAATAGCTCTGGACCTTCTGATCGATGGAAAGGATCTTTTTTATGCATGATATTGGTAATAATGACAGGAAAAATTTGTTTTAGCTATCTTTTTACCCATACTTCAAAGCAGGCTTTTATCCTATTGTTGGATTTCAGAAGTTGTTATTGTCAAGTAAGACGGCTGTTTGAAATCTTTCTTATCTTTTACGAAATATGCATAAAAAAATACCTAGCTTGAAAAGATACTTATAGTTCCATTGCTGAGAATGATAGATTACTGTAAGAGAATGTTCGTTTGTCTTGAGCAATTGACGCGAGTAAAAGGTTGCGAACTGCTCTTTGTTGCTTCAGTGAGTTTGAACAACTAGCTGTTTCAATTTTGGATGCCTGCTATTTCAACAACAAGGAAAACACAATGAATCTGTTGGTGATGGAGAGAAGGAGTTTTGCCATGCACTCATGCATGATGATCGCCTCAGAGGGCAACTGCAGAGAGTTCATGCAGCACCGGGCATGTCAGGAATACTTGGATCGCGTATGGGCTAACACACTTCTCATTAAGAAGCTATCTGGGAGGGTAGGCATTTTAATCCATTAAATGGAACGAGAACTTGTAGTGTACCTATTGTACAATCTATTTTGCAGTTCATCTTGAGCATCGTAGTTGGAGCCGTATTTCCTCCTGCTGTTCCCTTCGTGGCTGAATACGATGAAGCTATGTACGCTAAGTCGGCTAAATCACGGAAAGCAGTGAGTTTGTTTGATTTCTAAATTACAGTTTTAGCAGACCAACATCGAGTTTAACAGCAAGTATGTACTCAATAGTTCTGGTAAAGCTTAAATGCAGGAATAAAGCAATTGGTTCTCTTTTTACCTTTTGAGGCCAGCCATTAAAAATGAATGGATCCATGTTCCCAAAACATGATATATTACTCCATTTTTTAAAGTGGTTTAATAAACATGGCTTTATTGTGAATCCACATTTTCGCTAGCCATTAAAGTGGATGGACTTGTTCAAATGTTTAGAAGCAAAGCCCGTTTACAAAAAAATCCCTCTCAAAAAGGCGTGACTCAAAAAAGTTGTTTGTACTATCATCGAAGCTGAATTAATATACTTATTTACCATATAAACCAAATTCCTTAACACTTTAGAAGAAGACGACTTCAGCGCATATTTACAAGAAAAAACTGCGAGACTTCTATCGTGCACCATGCGTTCGGCATGCCTACCAACTTGTGAGGTTTCTTTTGTCTGGCAAATTTCCTTTTGAATGGATGGTGTTTGGGGAATTTGTTGAGGCATACTGAAAGCAAAATTTAGAAAAGGATAAACTTATGACTAGAATTTTTACTTTAAGTTTAATAGTTTAATTTTAAGTCTAATTTTAATAGATAAATCTGATTATTTCCAACTTTAGAATGGATACAATGATACCTAGGCATATCTGCTTTTAGAGCACTAATTGAAAGCACCAATAAAAATTTTAACTTGACAGAATATTGGTGAGAGGTTCTTACTGCCGAATTTCGGTTATTAATGATGGTAGCAAACTGAAGGAAGATCATATTACTTTTATCCGTCTCTAAGGCGACCAACATACTCCTCTTCTTCATCCTCCTTGTCAACATTGAAGTAGAACTCGACTACTCTAGCAGCGTAATGTTCAGCATTTCAGCATTCATGATCCTCACGTTCATAACACATTTCATCGAATTCGTGAGAATCGTAAGTTTGTTTCGTTGGACCGAATTAATGTTACCGCATTTTAATAGGCCCAAGATTTTTAACAAATAGTTTTTTTAGAACTTACACCGCAATAAATGATCATGAGCAGTGTCTCTTTCGTTAGCTATGTACGTCAGCAAATTGCTAGTTGCTTGAAAGATGAAAGAGTGGGGCATTCAATGGATAGTGAAGCGCAACTATAACAGAATGAAATTTCAGTGGTGTATACTACCAAGAGGGCAGTAATTCTATCCAAAATCTGCTCTGATGCCGTTCCCATAACTTCTGAACTTTGATAGTAAAGCTAACTTTGGAATCATATACTTTTTAATGTCTTTGTAAATAACTCTGGTACAATAGAAATGCATGAAATGTTCAACTTATGTGTTTGAAAAACAATTTGAACTTGCACGCTTGAATATATTTGGAAAGCCTGATTATTGCTAAAGGTTCCATAAATTACTTTATAGGCTTTCATCAAGTGGATTTCGTTGCCTGTATTCCTCTCTGATTCGTATCACAAGCTAATCGTGGTTACGTGCGTTGCCTACATTCTGGGGACCCTGTTCCAGTTACTATTCGTGTTTGTACTGCCAAAGACGTACATTTTGGAGCAATTCAGTCAGGGCTGCTTGGCAATTTCCCTATTTTTTCCTTTTATCAAGACATTGCGACTCCTTTCCATTGGTGAATACGTCGGACCGAAGCTGCAGATGATCAAAAAGATGGCAAGTGTTAACCACCAAAAATACAATAACAGTGGATTATAGCTGCTGTCCACCAAGTACAAATATGTAATATCGTCCCTTTAAGCAGTATGAAGTTCTATCATTTATCATTTACACTAGTTGAATTTACTTCTTGGGTGTGGCTAAATCGCGTTTAGTCGTTCGACGTTTAAATAAACCTGTAGAGATATGCGTTACTGCTAAGTAATGAATACATCAACTGAATGCATCTCATTTATAGGTATGAAAACTGGCTACTTTTATCGAAGCTAACATTCAGATAATTAAAACACGAATTTCCTGATAACAAATAAAGACAACTAATTCAGGTGATCATTTGACGCGGTAGGTAACTTGGGTGTTTTTCCACTTTTCCTTCAGACGAAAGGAGATTTGTTGCCTTTCTCTCTGATTCTCTGCATATTTTGGATTTTGTACTCCCTATTCTTTTCCGCGATTGTTATTCGTCCCAATACTATTTACAACCCGTCTGACGCTCTGAGTAGTCTTTTTTACACCCTGCAAAGTTCGTTCTTCCAAATGTTTGGCGAATTTCAAGCTGAGGATTTTATTAACCATTACGGTGAGCCTTATTTTTGTGTTGTTAAGAAATTGAGTCTAGTATTCTACTTCTAGTCAAATGCAAGTTCCATCTGTTATCATATCTCCTGCAGTTATGATGAATCCGTAGAATTTACCTGCCTATGTTCTGCTCTATTACAGGATAGGATCCAAAACAGCCTCAGCAACTGTGCTTCATTTTCCTCTTTTCTCAAATGTACCCCATTTGCTTATTTACTGTAGGCGATAGAGAATGCGCAAACATTACAACACCCGGCTGCACCTATCCGGGATACCGTGTTCTCATTCCACTCCTGATGGCTATTTTCACTCTGACTACACACGTTCTACTCATCAACCTGCTAATTGCCATTTTCACGTGAGTTGTAACGCGAACAGCGGAGTTTGCATTGGAACAATTTACAGCCTCGGCAACATCGGGTGGAGTGCATTTCGTCTTAAAATGCTATCTGCATTTCATTTACAGCCTTCACAAAGCACTTCCTATCATCGAATTCACGAAAATTGATAAGCAGTACACAGTGAATGCAGGTCGAAAGACGTCTGTCTTTTTTGAAAAAAACTATTCGGAATCACCTAGCCAGTGGCAGTCCCACTCTTGGAATCTATTTTACTTACTTGCCAAGAGGTCGTGGAATGTGTTACGCTGGACAATGAAAAGGAACATATTTTTTGATACTCATGAATTTCCCTAGTGCAAATCGTCCACGATTGATTAGTACTGATTCAGACTGCAGTGGGGTCGCAAATCTCTAGGCTCTGCAAAAAGCTCCTTCTTTAGAAAATCACGCTTATTTTCAGTAGCATTATTTACAAAGTCGGTCTTACTACTAGGCAAATACAATTGTGGATATTAGAATTTTAATTTTTTACGACTTTCAAACTCGTATGGCTGCTAAATAGAGGTTCTTAAACAAGTGTCTGGAGTTTGGTAGGAAAGATTTGCAAAAAACTGCCTTATTTCGTTTAAAACTCAACAAAAATTCTTTAAATTTGAGAAATCAAAGTCTATCAAACCCATTACGAAAGTGGAGAGATTCACATTTCCATATAATGGTGCACATCGATAAGGGACCGATTCTTCATGCTTCAGTAAGACTTATGACAGGATGGTGGCGATTTCTCAACAACTTTGGACTATGCAGCGCTACAGATTAGTGGAGTACATTCTCGTCGGGTCTGTTCAGCCGGGACCCTTCCTCATTTTCTCCTTCGTCTATCAACTTGCTGCTCTCTTCTGTCGATCGAAAACCTCGAATAAATCAAATAAAAAAAGACCGTTTCGTAAGATTGCTTCCACTTTACGTTCTTGTTACTTTTGAATATGCACCAATTTACTAAGATATAGAACAAGTTTAGTGTTATAATCAACAGTTTAAAAATTACCACTGGTCCTGGGTAGTTGTTTGCCTAATAATTCTTTACCAAAGTTGCTATTTAGCCGAAATTGAAAATTTTTCCTGCCAGGCAAATCGTTTGAGGATAATCCGGGTCGCGAACGACAACTGATAAACTGGGAGAAGCTAAGTGCCCTCGTAATGATGGGCATGCATGACGAGGGTCAAGAGCTGGAGAGGGCTTCCAAGGGTGGAGTTACGTTAGAGAATAGGCGAAAGGCCACGGAAAGCTGGAAAACGCCAAACGACAGGTCTTGGCAAATTGTGCGCAGAATCGTGCCCCCCACTATGGTCCTACAAAGTCTCGCAAAACCGGGACCTGTGACCGATGCTCTGGCGAAGAAAATTGACGACATCGATTCAAAGTTGGAGAAAATAAGTACTATTGTGCGTCTAGTTTTGGTACAAACAATCAATTTGGTAATTTTAAGTTAAAACATTGCTATTCCATTTTTGCCGTAGATGTCAGGTCGACCCGTTGAGCCCAAGCTTCTTTTGCCGTCCAATGTTAAGCGTAAGCGTGCATGTAGTACTGGTTTTGAAAATATAAGTCTTGAAGGACGTCAGTATTTAATGTTGAATGCACTACACAGAAGGAGTTGTTTTCATTCGTTTTTAAGCGTCTAAAGCTTGCATCACCCCAATTCTATCAATGAAAGGATAATTTTTAGCATCTCTAGGACTGTCTAGAGAAGGAAGCCATAGATCATCACTCAATTCGATTGACACCTCAGATGTGCCGATTGTGGCGCAGTGGCGTAACCACCAAATAGCTATTTATTCGTCATTGACAAGCGACACCACACCACATACCCTGGATCCCCCCATTCCCTGGGAGGTCAGTGCCACTTTTGCTTAATTAAATCTGATTATTTTGACAATATTTAGGATCATTTTATAACAAATGCGTAGTAAGCCTTAAATCACTTTTATGCAGATATTCTAAGTAAGCAGATGGTGCACTGACCAATGGCAAGGATGATAATGGAATTGCGTCTCTATCTGTTTGATGATGCTTTGACATTTGTTGAATAGCTGGCTGGCAAACTTAGCCCTTTTTAGGTGTCTTATATTTATTTTAGAGCAAATCATATTTACGCTCTAGATTCTAGGAAGCGGGAACGTAAGTCCATTGCGTCGGAATTGAAAAATCGGAAACCCATTTAGCAATACATGGGTTTAATTTGGGGCAGTGGTGATTCTATGTAATGCGGTTGTGCTTTTCGTCTATTCTTTTGAGATGCCCTACCCGAAATACCGCGCGATTCCCTGGAGTCCTCGCAGGTTCATGGTACCTCAGTGGCAAAGCGACAGCATGCCACCTCCCGAAGCGTCTCGGCTACATTCATTTGACTCAACAAATTTGAGCTTTTGTGATTCAGCACCAAGGAACCCTGAGGGTCGTGTTGGCACGGCTGGAAAGGGGCTGCTACCAAAATATGGCGCTAATTCAGCCTGCATAATTGTGGTGGCTCGTGGAAGCATCAGCGACGAAGTACTTGTTTTAAAGGGAATTCGTCCACAGGCGCAATTTCCTTGGGTATGGTAATCAGCTGAATGAGGCTTTGCAGAGCGCCTGCGTTAAAATTCAGCTTCAATATGTCTACTAACTTCTTTTCAGTTTCTCTGCACTCATCCCCCAAGTTGTAATCAAACAACTTGTTTCAATGGATTGGTCCGAACTTTTTGCCAAAAGTGTCAGAACAGTGAAACCGAACCGACAAAAAAAGCTGTGATAGATGATTTCATCGCCTCGTTCGTCCAATGTGTACGTTATTCAACTCTCTTCTCTTCTGATCACTATTGCAGGCATGAAATCAGTTTTAATTTAACTTTGTGGCAGGAATATTATATTTTTTGTTTCATATCATTGTTACGGTTTGAGTACCTATTCATAATACATTAAGTGAACAGTTAAAGCCTAAAACTGAAAGCAGAAATCATCATTTTAGATTGAAGTCGGGTCAACATCGGATCCAATCAATTGCGATAATGCTTGGCTTTCTGTCACGGCAATTCATTTTCAGATTCCACCAAACTACAAATGGATATCTGACTTAGAAAACGTAAGTTAGCTATAACTTGAAAGAAATCAAAAGCAGCTATCTACCTTTTAATGTGGTAGTTCACGTTACAGAATTTTGCACACTACTTCCTAGTGCATTCCTATTCTTAAAAGGTCACCGACAAAGAAATCAGAGCACATTGGTGATTCATGAACTCACGTAACAAAGGCAAAATCAACGAATCTATGGGGCAATGATGTAATCAACATGGGACGCTATTTATAACTCTACGAGGTTGATGTTTTCCTTTCACAGATATTGGCGGTCAAGGATAGCACACCTTCATGGGTCCGAACGGACAATTTGCCAGCCCTGAGAAGGAGTCATCTAGCTGCGCTAATGGCGATTAAACAGTAATCATGAAAACAAAAAGTGTGAATTTAGTGGGTTATCGTAGTGACAACAATTGGCTTCTCCGGACACTTTTATTACAAAGAAAACAAACATCTCTTTCTTTTCAAAATATCAATTTTCATTACAAAAAACCTCATGAACAGTGAGGCCCACTGAGGGTAAAGGCAATCCTTTAATAAAATGATAAAGTGAAAAATGGACTTGTACGAGCATCGTATGGCCAACGTTACATCGATTTGAGCGTTGGTTGGTGCCTTAAGTTACTTCTTGATAAGAAACTATCACTTGATTCGGTTTACGAGCATGACAAAGCGGTGGTAAGTTGCCCACATTTACGCTACCAGACACAACTGAAAGACACTAGAGAATAGTGTGTAGAGGGTGTTATGAGTGAATTCGGTAAGGAGTTTCTACATCGCCCCGGGTCTTCCCTAGATTGTAACAGCCTAAATACTGCCAAGGTCATGTATTGCCATCATGTAGGAGGTTTCGGAGCCCACCAGCATGACCCAAAAGCCACGTCACAGGGCAATTAACTCTGAGTCAAGAGTCCCCATAGTTAAAAGACATAGAAAATTACAAAATTAAGTAAATAAAGGAATCGAATTTGCTATCATGTTAGCCTAGAGGTGTTTCGTAGGTGCAACTAATTAACTGTACTTCTGCAATTGCAACATTTTAAAGCAAAAAATATACAATTACAACGACAAAGAGCATAAATGTTAAGAATAAAAAGTTGTTAGGTATACCATTCATAGGTATGACAATTTTACAAAAAATGTAGAATACACGCACTCCCTTATAAGAAAGCAAATAAATTTCAAAACTTAAAAGAAAAAGTTTTAATAAATAATGCTAATTTGCAGATTGCCTTTGTTTCTATACCCTTCTGGCACTATACAACAGGTAACCCGGTCAACTTGTCAGCCTTTTTTCCGCTGGCTGCTGTCGCTCCATCTTATTCTATTTCATCATCGCTAATGGCAGCCGCTCCAGGTGATACGGGCCAACTAAAGAGGATAGGCTTTGAGGTTTTCGGGAGAGTCCAGGGTTAGTACTTAATCACATGTATATAGTAACTCTATTGATAGGCGTGTTTTTCCGCAAAGTTTGTCGGATTTTTTACATTTTAAGGGATTCTAGTATACGGCAGCAACAGCAAAGCAGAACAGCATTGTTGGTTGGGTGAGAAACACGCCTAGTGGAACAGTTGAGGGCGAAGCCGAAGGGTCCGTCTCACATATTAATACTTTGTAAGTGTCGTATTTACTATTTACTCCCTCCATAGTAAAGAGTGGCTTCAGCATACAGGGAGTCCCAAGTCACGAATTGAAAAGTGTGAGTTCAGTTATGAGAAAACCATTGATAACCTTACTTTTGATTCTTTCCGGATTATTAAGTAGCTTGGTACATAATTTCAGCAGCAGTAAAGCTCTTCATTTATTGTTATTTGCCTGATGACTTGGGAAACTTTTCGTTGGGTAGAACAATTCCAGATGGGTGGAATTCGGCCGTTTACGTGCTCTATGCCACTCAGGCTCTTCTGTTGATGGTGTTGTCTGGGGCGTTGTGTATCACACACCGTTCTATCGTCGATCAACTCGTGGAATTCTAGAATGTGGGCGTGTTAATCATCTGTTGGGATTTGATATAGGATGATGGCTTAACAGTCATGCAGCTATGAGGGTGGCAAATTGAATCCAGCCTTTTCCTCCTAGGATCGGTTTGATGTCTTCCACACCACGACCCCTGATATGGAGTCTGAAGTTTGGGGTCTACTGGGTCCATGGAGGTTTTTTTACGGGTCATGGTCAATCTAAGTGTCTCAAAGTCAGCTACTTATTCTCATTCGGCAGGGTGGAACCACCTTCTGCGCTTCCTCGCTGGATTATGGAAAAGTAGGACGATTAGTAAAAATTCGTGTTTAATTAAGTGCCTGTGATATTGTCTTAATCGGTGTACATTATCGTACTTGTTTTTCAGGGAATTAGTAAAGTGCACATAACAAGGTGGTAGCCGAAAACGTAGATGATGCGCGATGACTATGTTCTGGAACTAGTTCGCATAGATTGCTTTCAGCCCCTCCAAGTGGCTCTTTCGCATAGGCGGTAGATCATCAAGTCTTGCCCACATCGTCGTGCCTCCTTTAGTTTTGAAAATCTAGAGAATGGTACGATAAACATAGACTGTGAGTTGTAGTGAAGAGCTATTTCCTAAAAGGCAGTTTGCTTTCGTGTATTGTGGTACATACAGGTAAATTCCCGTCTGATTCTTATTTAACTGTCATCTCTCTTATGCGAGAATGTAGGAACAAGGTGATAGGTTACCGATTTGGATGGATTTTAGGCACCACAACCTTATAAATGGAAGGCAGCGATAGAATCTCATGGCTTAATTCATCATTTATCGTCGAACCACCTAATCTTAGTACTTAGGGGTAATGCAAAGTGCAGATGGGATTATTGGTTGCGCTTTTAATTCGATGGATATAATAACCTTTACTTTATCAGTTTACACTCAATTTGATTAATCCAGCTCATTCTCTTCAGGTGATAAGTAGATTGCTATAATTATCCTTAATTTACTTAGCTACAAGATCAGTATTCGTCTTATTTCTGTAGTGAAAGTTCCAAGGTAGAGGCGTGCCAAAAGGCATTAGTATCGAACTACACGAGAAACCGCTGTTGCAACAGTCAACAGTAGTGATTTAGACCACACACACATGTCCACTTATCCATTAGGAAATGTCACAACTGCCTTAATTATCAATTGTATAGAGGAACTTACCCGTTCAACGTTGCAAATAGATGGGAACGGTGAGATAATCTTAAAGTGAGCGATCGTTACTTCAAGCCACGCATTGTCACAGTTTATTGGATCAGAAACTGGCCCTACATACACCTGGAATGTAACGTACTGTACTAAAAGGATCCAAAATGTCGGTACAAGGAGGTACCTTTTTACAACTCACATTTTTACTGTATGTGGCAATAAGTCGTTGCAAGACTGCAGAATCAATCATTACAGATTTTTCACCCACCACGATCATTTGCCCGCAGAATCCTCTTACAAGCTCCTTATGACAAGAAATTTGATCACAGTCCTTTTCATGGTAGCAGAGGAACTGTTAAAATAGGAAGGAACGACATTATAAACCGTAGTTATTTCAAAAGGAATACATAAACTAATGACGAATGAAGCGATTAAGTGGACGATTTACTGTACCCATGGAAACTGGGCCTGTGCTCGAACGCCCTTAAGAAGGAGCACCTCTTCGACGTCGCTGAACCCACTTCGCTCGACGACGACAATGCAGGCGGAGTTGCCGCCGAATTGGGGTAGCAGTCCCCTTCCGGCAATGCCAACACGACCCTCAGGATTCCGAAGCGCCTCCTCCGACCTGACGGGCGAGGAAGAAGTAGTCGTCATCACACTGGAATCCACTGAGAGAATGCGGCAGGAAGCGTGCCTCTTCTCTAGTGTGCTCGGTGAGGTCTCACCTACGGTCATCTGCCAGGCGGGGATCAAATAGCCATTGGGTCGCCATCGAATTGGCGAATAGTCTGGAAATGGGTCCTACAGCACAGACAAGCTTAAAGTTTTAGCCTCATACACGTGAGGATGGGTAAAATATAGACGAGGTACTTGCGTTGAATTTCAGGTACACATTAGGATGCAGTCTATGTAATGGGCAAATTGTCTGCCTAGGGTCAACGCCAGCCTCATGGGAAGGAGTTGCCTGCATGTACTACCTATGGCTGATCCTTAATCTTGCTTTTATTTATTTTAAGAGAAGTCGAAAAAACTCATATACGAGTAGATCAATGAAGACTAAGTCTGGGAAATATATCAAACCTACAATCCCATACAAGCAAACGATGTGAATACAACTTAAAAGTGGACGTCAAATTAAGTCATTCGTGCTTGGACTTTGTGGATTTAATACTAGAAAGGGATTAGAAATGTCAAATCAGTTGGTTTTGCGACGATCGCAATGTCGAAGCCAAAAATTGTGATAATTAAGTACTGAAATGATATCACAAGTTTCGATTAAAGCCTTAGCAAGGAAAATTTCCTTCACGTCAAGCGAACGCACATCCCACGGAA